GGGACCGGCAGGGAGACTGGGCGTGTTGCAGTGCAGGCCACGCTCTGCAGTCCGCACTGCTAGGAGTGCCCGCTGTGAGATCCCAGGCAGATAAAACCTACCAGCCAACCACATGACTTGTTCAATACCCGAGAGCAACACACAGCTTGCTCCATGCTTGGAGCTAACCCCCTGAAATCCGTATTTCGGATCCAAGCGGCCTCCTTTTCCCGTGCCCCCCACTGATTTCAGTAGAGTTGGTGCGCGCTGGGGAAACTGGACCACTTTGGTGCCTCCTCATGGAGTGAGCATCCCAGCTCGGAGTCAGCGCTGGCGATTAAGCAGGTCTTGAGGGCGGAGGATGAGAAGAGAGAGAGAGAGGAAGAGCTGTTGCAGCGACTCCCGCCCCTTCCCCAGTAAAAGTTTATATAGTCTAAGTATATTGACTGACCCCCCGAAGGAAGCTACTTAATTAGGGCAGAGGCCTTCAACGAGAAACGAGGATGCATTTGTGTCAACACTGCCTTCTACTTAGTGACACCTTCTGCTGAAGTGAAATGGCCTGAGAATGGGGGTGGTTAAAGAGGAATAAGCGTGTAATCGCCGCCCGCCAGACCTCACAAGTGCTAAGCGGAATATTTACAGCGAAGTGGCCAAAGTAAACGAGCCCACTCCATTTTATGTCAGATAAACGCGAGGCTCCGGGGCTGGGCGGAAGGGGGGCGGGGGGGAGAGGACGAGCAGGATGGCACGTAAGTGCACGGGGGCTGCTCGCGGGGATGGACGCACATCGAAACAGGGACGGGCATTTGCACAGACTCGCATGCCCGCGACCGGCGTCCGAGGAGATACACGTCTATCCACCTACGGAGGCACGATGCGCGCATATCTGTGGTGCAGGCACATGCAAGCAGGCGCACAACCATCGCACACGCTAGTCTGCAATGCACAGACCGCCCAAACACAAAGTACCGACTGCAGACACGTGAGGTAAATGAACAGGCGCGCACACATGGTGCAGACGCGGAGCGCGCTCGTGGAAGGGCCCCGAACGCACAGCTCAGGCGCGCGCACGTACAGATGTGCCTCTAAGCAATGCGCGGGCACGGTGCAGGAGCGCCGAGAAGGGCCTGCACGATGCGCACATGTACCCAGCTCCTGGACACGTGCGGGGTGCAGGACCACACTCCTGCACACGCTGTCACTGTGCAGCTGCGCGCACACACACGAAGTGCATGACCTCGAATATAACAGGTACGCATAGGTCGTGTGCACGACCACCCTTATATATCGCGCATACGTCAAGATGGGCATAGCCACCCCGCACACACACACACACACACACGATGAGCACATGCACGGTGTGTATCAGCACACGCCACCTCCAGCATCTACCCGGCTCCCACCGCGACAAGGGAGCTGCGGCGCTCCCCAGCCCCGGGCCCCCTCGGCGTGGCCTGGAGCAGAGGGCAGGAAAGCCTGGCGGGGGTTGCAGGTCGGAGCGAGCTGGGGAGAAGGTCTGATCGCTCAGGGTCAGGGCAGGCACCACTGCCTTGTTTATTTATGTCCTCCCAGGCTGCGGTATTACAGCCCCTTGAGCTCTCGAGCTAACAGATTAGAGGAGCCCCGGCCTGAGCCCTCTCCGGAGAGACAGGGGAGAGGCGACTGCCTCTTTGAAGAGCAAGATAGTGTCTCCCAGGCCTTGCCCCTCTCTTCAAACGGAGCGAGGGCACCCGGCCTTATCTCGCCCCGGGATCTGTCGGCCGGGGGCCGCAGCGCCGTGCCCCGCAGCTCGCCGTGCCCGGCCCCCCTCGCGGCGGGTGTCGCTTGGCCTTGCAAGACACCGGCTAGCGCGGCGCTGGGAGCACTGGCCAATATTTAACTAAGATGGCTGGCCAGCGGGTCCCTTTTGTTTGCTTGCAAATTAATCATCCAGCGCGCAGTCGGCGCCAGTGTAGATTTATCACACACAGGAGGGGGGACGAGGCGGCCGCGGAGAGACAAAGGGAGTTCGCACCTTCCTGCTTTTGATCCTAGATTAGCGCAGCCTCCCTTCATAATACGAGTCTCCAGGGGGCTTAGTCTGGGAGGTCACTCATAATTGGCGGAAGTTTGTGCACCATTAGCGAGACGCTGAAATTTGAAATCATAATCCGCAACCAGCTCCTTTTTTTTTTTTTTT